AGGAGGATACTGAGGGATGATGATGATGCTGCTGATGATGATGCTGATGATGATGCCGATGATGCTGATGATGCTGCTGATGATGATGATGCTTATGATGCTTATGCTGATGATGATGATGATGATGATGATGATGATGATGATGATGATGATGATGATGATGATGATGATGATGATGATGATGATGCTGATGCTGATGCTGATGCTGATGCTGATGCTGATGCTGATGCTGATGCTGATGCCGATGCTGATGATGAGGAGGAGAGGAAGGAGGGAGTAGGAGGAGAGGAAGGGAGGAGGGGAGGAGGGAAGGAGGGAGGAGCGGAGGGAGGGAAGGGAGGGAGGGAGGGAGGGGGGGCGGGAACGGAGGGACTGAGGAGGGAGGAGGGAGGCGGGAGGGCAGGGAGGAGGACGAACGACAGGGACGAGGAGGGAGGGGAGGGAGGGAGGGAGGGAGGGAGGGAGGGAGGAGGAGAGGAGGAAAAGGAGAGGAGGAGGAGAGGGAGGAGGAGGGGAGGAGGACAGGGGGAGGGAGAGGAGGAGGAGGGAGAAGGGGGGAAAGGAGGACGAGAGGACGACGAGGGATAAGGAGGAGGACGACGAGGGATAAGGAGGAGGAGGAGGAGGAGGAGGAAGTGGAGGAGGGGGGAGGAGCGAGGAGGAGGAGGCGGAGGAGGAGGAGGAGGAGGGATGATGAGGGAGGGAGGGGGAGGGGGAGGATCGAGCTCGATGCTCGTGCAGGGGACACTTCCTGGCGGCCAACCCAACTCCCCAACTCAGGCGATCGCAAACATGGATCAATGGGGGCGTGGATTAGCGACGGGTCCCGTTCCCATGGGCAATCGCAGATTGCCGCCGCCGGGCGAGGCGGCACCGGCCGCATTCTGGGGAGGGCACCTCCCCCGATCCATGGATTTGGCGATCGCACGCGCCAAATCCATGGATCGCTAACCCATGTTTGCGCGCCCCCGACTCCTGGCGGCCACCCGACGGATCTGGTCGCCTCATATCGATTTTTTCAAATTCAGGAGGGAAAGAAACACACAGACAGAATTAATCGTCGATTCCCAGGAACATGTGGGAAGTGGGGGGGACGACAAAAACCCATAGCATATAGGACAATATAGGGGATCTTGTTATTTGTGTGTATTTATTTGTGTGTCCCAGGGTCCCTTCAAAAGTCTCAAATCTCATCAGCTTCAACTCAAGGTCGACTCAGGCCGGCGGTCGTTCCAAGCAGCATCGGCGCGCAAGCTGAGCGCGCGGCTCCAGGCACGTCCCCAGCACGACCGTCCAGATCGAGGTAAAGAACACGCTGGCCAGGACCAAGATCTCGCGGGATCATGTCGGCGCCTATCTCGTTCATCGTCCATGCGGGCTTTCGCCGGTTCGCGATAAGGATCCACGGATCGGCGTTGCGCAAGATCGACAGTGACCAAGATCGGCATCGACGTTTCCGCACCCAGTCTTTGTCATGTTCCCCGTTTTCTTTCCTCCCAGGGAGAGGGAAGGTATTCACGGTTCGGGCGGGTCGGTTGCGTCGCAGTCGGTTGCGTTCGCTCGGTGTGGTTCGGTCGGTTATATTTTTGTCGTTGCCGCGTCGCTGCGCCTTGCTAGGCCGCTTTCGGCTCGTCGATTTCGGTCGGTTTCGGTTTCACTGTCAGTTCGGTCGGTTGTCGGTTTTGCTATCGCCGTGCGCGGCCTCTGGGGGATAAGGAGGGAGGAATTGGAGGGAGGGAGGAAATGGTGGGTCACTTACTGGGTTCTGTAGCAAATCGTGGGACACTTGTGTGTCCTGGGAGTTCCGTCTTCAGAGTGCACTAGCGTTCCCCAGCGTCTGGTAGTGTGGGACAGCGGAGATTTAGCTTCGACTAGCGTCGATTTAGCTTCGGCTAGCGTCGATTAAGCGTCGATCAGCGTCGAGTAGCGTCGATCAGCGTCGATTCGCAAAAGCCCGTACGATGGCATGGGAGGCTCCCGCGAGTTGCCAACGAAAGAGGGGATCTAGACCCCTCCGCGTCTTGAAAGCACCGCGACGGGAATGTTTGTGTTGTTGCCGTTTTCGGCCCTGGGGGGGGTGGCTGCCCAGTCGTCAGACAAGGACTCGGGATGCAGAGCTGATCCCAGGGAATGGGTGGAGACCTCCGAGGCTCAAGTTTTGAACGTGTCACGGTGTTGGGGGCTTGGCGGTCCGGGGAGGTCGATGGGGAGGATGGGGGGAGGAGGGGGAGGAAGGGGAAGTGTAAGAATGCAGTGAGGAGTGGGGAGGGAGGGAGGAGAGGGATGATTAACGAGAGAGAAAGAGAGAAGGAGAGAAAGAGAGAGAGAGAGAGAGAGACGGGCTGGGCAATGACTCAGGCTTAGCTGCGTACACCGAGCGGTCGGTCGGTTTCTACTGAATTTGGCTTCGGACCTCCTCACACGCCTGTCCTGGTGGCAACCAGTCCCAAACATGGGCGGGTGCCAGGGCGAGAGAGAGAGAGAACAAACAGATACAGAGAGAGAGAGAGGGAGAAACAGAGAGGAAGAGAGGTGGATAGCCTCATATGGGATGTTTATTCACTGGGAACAGTGATAAACCTCTCCCCGAAGGGGGAAGAAGGGGGTTGGAAGAGGAAACGCTCTAAACCACCTAAGCCCTAATGGGCTGGTGGGATTCGCAGGGGGCACGCTCGGAGCTGGGGCGTCCCTGTCAATAAGACTAGCGCGCACACGTTCATTTCAACATGTGCTCCTCGGGCCTCACCAGCAACACATAACACACACTCCACGCGCGCGCTCATGCCGAAATCGCACCAAGCACACTGCCTCCGCATGCGAAGGTTCAACACCATGGTGTGTTTTCCAGGACTCCTGCAGGTGCTCTGCCCGCGCGCACGTGCTGACCCCCATGGGGGGGGCACTTTTCAGGTTGTCTTCGGAATCCCTCCTCTCCCCCCGTGCCACCGACCAGGGCTGGACCTAAACGGTGCTTTTGGTGATTTCGTGGGCCGTTTTCGTTTCGACTTCGTTTTGCAGTAAAGGCGGCTTCGAGACAAAAACGAAGGACAACGAAAACAGCACGAAAACGAACAACACCGTTTAGGTTCAGCCCTGCCACCGACTCCGACTCGTTCCTGCTCGTCCCGTTCGGCCACACGCGACAACGACTGCGCCCCACGGCAGAGATCAGCCGCTCACGCCCACACCGCCTCTCCTCTGCGTGTGCTGGCGCCCCGACGCCCCACCGCCCGCCGCGCCCGCGTCGCTGCCTTGCGGGGACCGCCGTGTCTGAAGCACGCGTGGCGCAGTCTCGACTCTTCGGAGGTCCGCGCGGATGGCGCGGATCGACGCTGGGCCGCCCCCCTCCCTGGCACGCTGCGCGCGACGGGGGCGGCGCCGCGGGCGCCGCCCGGAGGGGAACGAGCGCCGACCCCGAGCTCCGCGAGTAATTACCTCGGGACGTCTGTGCCTGCGCAGCCTTTTGGCGTCTCCCAGCTGTGCTGGGCCCCCACCCGTGGGCGGAAAGCAGATCCACATCCACACTCTCACGGGATAGGCCCTTGTGCCGCGGCCCCATGGAGGGAATCATGGCCGCGAGGGCTCGTGGGCGGCGTCCGCGGGATCGCGCTCACGGGATCGCGTCCCGAAGGCAAACATTGTGAAACAATTGCGTTCAGCGGATTGTTTTGTTTGCTTTCGGCCAGAGAAAAATGCTGTCTGGAATCAAACTGTTTGGTTGCCTCCAATGCAAAATTTAGGATGTTGCTTCCAGTGCCGCCATCCCGTTGCAAGCGCGCCGCGGGATTCGTGCTCGATGGCGGTTCGGGCGTTCCGTCTCCCGGGATGTGGATACAGTCGGGGCGCTGAAGAAGAAACCCTTTGCGTTGGCGAGGGGCTCTGTGTTCCTTAATTGTTCCACACCTTGCCATGGGTTTTCCTTTGGTTTTCTATGGGAAGTCGAAGCTGAACTTCTGGAAGACAGGGGGCCTCGTTCCTCCTGTAGGGTTCCTCAGGTCATTGCCTCGACTGCATGCCCGCCGCTGGTGACCCCACCGCACGCCGGGGCCGCCCCCTCCGCCCTCCAGAGGTGCGAGCCGGGGCTGCACCCGGCTGCGAGCGCACCGGCTCCCGCGCCGGCCGCGGCTGCCGCCGCCGGCCCCACCGGACCGCCGCGCCAGCAGGGGGCGGTCCGCTCCGCCGCCGCCGCCGTCGCCGTCGCCGTCGTCGTCGTCGTCGTCGTCGTCGTCGTCGTCGTCGCCGCCGCCGCCGCTGCCGCCGCCGCCGCCGCCGCTTCCGCTACCGCCGCCGCTGCCGTCCTCGCTCTCGTCCTTGCGTTCCACCCCCGTTTCATGTAACTTGTCCCAAGGGTCCACCGGGTAGTTCTCTCTCCCTTCTCCTTCTTCGTCCCCGCGGTCCTCTGTCTCCGTAGCCATTTGGGCTCAAGATTTTGTTGTTCCCCGTGAACGTGGATACCGCTAGTCCGCCTCCACTGTTGAGTTTCTCGGGCGCAGTCCGCCCTGCAACCCTTCTCGTGGGCAGTCCGCCATGCTCCACGGACTCGCCTGGGCGGTGCAGCTCCGCGCTGCCGCCTTGAGCATTCGACGGGATGCTCTCTTGAATGTGGGGTCTCCTTGTGTGATGGCTCCTCGTCGTGGGTCCGCCGTTGAGGAGCCTTGGCGTTGCAGATCTTGCGTCCACGGGGTCACTGGAAAGCTGTGGTTCAACGCTGGAGGCATGCTCCACTGCCGCCAGTGCCAGCTCCACAAGACCGTGGTGTTCACAGAACTTAGGCCCGCCAAAGTGCTCAGTGTCAGCCCCCATTGCACCCAGGATATAAGCTTGGCGGTCAATTGCGCTACGCTCGAGGAACAGGTCAAGCAGGTCAAGCTTGACAAATCCGCCAGTTTTTGTTTACTTCCTCCGCCTTGGGCTAGTGCGTGCAATGCCGACAGCGAGATGGTGGGCAAGCGCGGTCGCATCAAACAGCTCGAAGGCATCATGCGTTCTCTTTCGGCCGACGTGGATGCGGGGGCTCTCGCCTCCAACAGGTCGCAAAAGAAGGCGCTTAATCATGAACTGTTCGACGGTCGTCCCATCGAGGACCAGGCGGTATATTTGGCATCTGGGTCCAGCAGACTCGCGCACATGAGACGGTGGTTCGCAAGCCTGTGGAGACCCAGCGCACCAAGGTCAAGGAATTGCAGGAGCAGCTCGGAAAGGCGGATACCAAGCTCACCGAGGCGACGGCCGAAGTGGTTTGACTCGAGGAGGAGACGCGCAAGGTGATGTCGCAGGTGCGCCCGCCAGAGCCGCCTGGGTCCCCCACGATTCACGACCTCTTGCCGTCTTTCGCAGTCTCAGTGGGTCAGCTGGGCCCTGCGGCTGCGAGTTTGCGGCTTCGTGCGGGGCTCACGAACGAGGCCGAAACGATGTCGGAGACGGTCATCAAACTACGCGCAGCCCCCGAAGCTCAAGCCCCACCTCCTTCGGCGCCCAAGCCTGTCACTGTTCCTGCTGCTGTCGTAACAGCTGGTGAGGGGGATGTAGGCATGGAAGATTTGGGCGTGGCAGATCTGCGAGCTGCCTTGGGTGCAGCAGGCGTGCCGGTTGCAGGAGACGCGACAGTCGATGCCATCCGAGAGAACCCGAAGAGGTTCCAGTCGTCGTGCCTCGAGGCTTACAAGAAGCTTCGCGCCAAGTAGACGGGCGGCTCATGCAAGTTTTGGCTTGCTTCGGTCTGTCATCGTGGCGAGCGCTCTCTGCAAGTCCTCATGCAGGGAGGTCGACGCTGCCGCTTGGTCTGCTACATCGGGGGCTACCTCCAGTGCGACGGCCCCGCTTGCCGCTCGGGGTGGTGCATTCCTTTGCGCTCGAAGGTTGCCCCCAGTACCTCTGGCACTGTCGGGCGGGGACCCCCTGGGGGATCTCCGGCAGTCGCGCGGTCGCCCCGCGGTCCGGAGCCCCGGGGACCCTCCCCGTGCCGCGCTCTCCGTGTGAGCGCGGCTGGTCCCATGTCGCGTTCGGAGTGGGGGGCGTCGCGTCCTGGCTCGCCCGGGTGCAGCGTTGCCGCGTTTCTGCGCGTGGACGCAGCTCGCAATCGCCATACCAGCACGCATGGCGAGGCCGACCCGTCGGAGTTCCGGGGCCAGGTCGCTTCAGCGGGAGGGCCAGGCTGTCCCCGCCGCTTGCCGCGCGCGGTCATCGATTTCAGTATTCCCAGGATCGGGAGAGGCGCCGCCCAGTCAAGATGCCGCAGAGGCGCCCGCGGGCGAACGTGCAGTGCCTGGAGCCGGCGTCTTGAGCGTCGGTGCTGGCATGCCTGCGACGGGCGGCCGAGAAGGTAAATCTTCTCTTGCTGTACCTGTCGCGGGGCTGTTGAGTCGGTCATTGCGGGCTGGCGTGGTCCAGTTGCCGATTTTTGAGAGGTGGCGGCAGCCGCGGCTATCTTCGTTCAAGAGACAGCCCGTGTTACCTTCGTTCAGGAGTCCAGGCATGGGGAATGTCAGAGCAGGGCGCGCGACGTCGACTTCCGCGGTGTCTGGGCCCCAACGTCGGCCATTGCAGCGTCGGGCTCGCAGGCGAACGGGCAAGGCGCGGCAGTGCTAGTTCCCGCCGACGTTATGATTGGCAAGCCCTCTGGTTCATATCATATCGTCTGCCCTGGGCGCGCAGCGGCTCGCTTCTTCGACTGGTGAGCTGCAGGGTGGATTGTTTGTGTACGCGTATACGCGTTTACCTATGCGGGCGTCGCGGGAGGGAGCTCGTCCGCGCTCTGGCTGGTATCGCAGCGGGTTGCGACTTAGAGCTCTCGGGGCCAAGATTGTATTCTCGGCGTGGTTTTTAACTCCGACATGTCGGCCTTAGATACCCCGCGAATGGATCGAACCTTTGTCGGTTTTGCCGGTGGCCCCGCGATCGCGCGCATTCGTCGCGGGCGAGGGCAAGTTTAAGATCGGCTACTTCGTGGCGTGCAGCGACCTCTCCTCCATCGGGAAAGACCATGGTAATGGTGACACTCGGTGCGACACCTCCCCAATGTTGCCCTGGGCACGTTGGCTGGCTGGGCCGGGGCCGCCCCGCGTGGTGCTTGAGTCTCGCGCGGTTGCAGTCGATCCGCCATGTGGGCGCGCGCGTTTCACGTGCGACTGGGGGGCTGTGGATTTCTGTCGTCGAGGCGCGTCGCAATGCAGGCCTGCCAGGGGTGCGACGACGATACGAGACCTGCAGAGGTCCCCCAGAGGCCCACAACGCCCCGAATGAGCTAGACAGTCGTCGATCCTTCATCCTCCATCGCCCAGTGACGACGCGACGCCCACAGCGACCCGATCCTTCTCCATCGATCCCCCGAGGCCTGGGACGCCGACGCCTCGACCGCGATCCGACGACCTCGATCGGCCGGTCTCGATCCGTCGACCGACGCCTGCGATGCCGCCGACGGCGACGCCGGGGCCAATGGACCACGCGGGGGAGGAGGAGGAGGAGGAGGAGGAGGAGGAGGAGGAGGAGGAGGAGGAGGAG